CGCCAGTGTGAGACTCGGCGAGCGACTATCATGCTAAATAATTTAAGCATTGGCTGGAAGTGGAAAGATAGGATCAACCGACGATTCATACAGTGGAATAAAATAACTAACATCTACGTCATCAATGCACTACGATCAGGATGACACGGCTAAATATCGAACTTCGTTCATGGATAAATGTGGGCTTCTTACATGAAGAATAAGACATTCATCGAGAAAGTAACAAAAACCCACTCATACTTTCGGGAATATAGAGAAAGGTAGCTTATCTCGTATTTTCCAATTCAAAGGATAGAATCAGTTCTATAAGGTGCAATTTCTTCCATTGTTTCTCTGGTGAGGGTGTAGCAATACACAAGAAAATAAAATTGTTGATATACTTACTTTAGTGGGTCGATGAATGGTGAGTAACGTGTCACCATTATGCGGTGCAAACGCACAGGCTACGCAACCACTATCACCGGGAAGCGGTGGTTGTGGGACAGTTGGTTCACTTTCTGCATCATTCTGATCCAAACGGGACACCGACCGTACGTAGTTTGTTTCACCCGTGACGATATGTCTTTCATCATGGGACTGTACCAGCTCGGGCACTTGTTCTTCATTCAATATGGCCAAAACAAGGCTTATTAGGGATAGAAGACTACTCGGTAGTGAACCAGTCTCTCGTTTGCATGCTTTCAGTTCAGGTTGGGTATCATAAATATTAGTAAAGTCTTTTATCACGTCGTCCAAATACGTGTCAGGCAGACTATCAGTGTTTTGAGAGGCTTGAAACGAACTGGCAAGGGTCGGTCCCATTTCTTTCAAATGATATGAAAATAAATGTAGAGGAATTATAAATTTATTTATTCGAGAATCCTTGAATAAAATATCACGGATCAAACTAAAGATTACAATATTTCTTTTGAACTCTTCACCTTGTTTTGGCTATTTCTTAAAAGAAGGCAACCCACTTAGATGAATATCCCATATAGGAGGTTCGGGATATACTACCGAAATTATCTAGCATTCGTTCGCGGTTACATGGTCAAATGATCTGTGCAACGTGCAATAGAGAGTCTGTTAGACGCATGGAGGTAGAGCATGAAAAATCTTTTGTATTCAGTGGATTATCGGGAGGATTTTCCACACCACAACGGTGATTGAATGAGATCACCAAGGTTTCAGGAGCTCAGTCGACTACACCCACCGTCGCTCACCGGTGTTCAATGACTATTGCATGCCTCGGTCGTGGTGAGAGTTGAAAGCAGGGTCAACAAAAATATTTGGAGGTTAGCTGTGG